GCCCCCACACGGCCCCACGCGGCCCCACGCGGCCCCCACACGGCCCCACACGGCCCCCACACGGCCCCACGCGGCCCCCACACGGCCCCACGCGGCCCCACGCGGCCCCCACACGGCCCCGGCCCCGCCTCCCTTTCGGCTTCCATCCGTTGCCTGGCAGCCGGGAACGCGGTGACAGCGACTGTCGCACTGGTGCTGGCGCGGCAACAGCTGCAGTTCCCGATTCCCTCTTACCCTACCCTGTTCCCCGCGGCCTGAGCTCCTTCAGGCAGCGACACTAAGCGCTTCGCCAAGCGAATCCTTGGAGAGATTGTCTCTCCGAAAACTCGGTCTTGCAGTTCGTTGAAATGCAAAGACTGACTGGGCTCTTCACCAACTGAGTCCTTGCAGAGAACTAACTGCCTTTGAAGATCACTCGTGTCCTTTATTGGAAGGTAAAGCTTTGATGTCCTTGATGACGTTCAGCTTGACACCCTGCTGTGATAGACCTGGGTTTCCTGAGACATGTCAGGAATTTTTCCCCAGCCCTGGGAATATTAATTCATTGCTTCCCTAGGTGGCCTCAGCTGCTGTGTCCTGGCACAGCTGGCTCCTCTGCCCAGGCTCAGGCCATTCGTGCTCTGAACACAAAGCTGAGGGGCCAGACCTGTCTGTGCCCTGAGCCTGGAGCAGAGGGGGAATTAAGATCCTTCCTTAACTTGTGGGCTGGGTAAAGGGCTGTCTGAGGTGGGGAAGATGAATATCTCCCCCCATGGGACAGCGGTGGTGGGCTGAAGCTGTGCTTTATTCTGTTCCTGCAGAGAGCTGGGACTGATTTCTGAGTTCTGTTCCTTCCCCTGAGTCTGGGAGGCAGATTCCTGTAGGCTTTATGGAAGTGGAACCGTGGGGCTATGGAAGAGCAGCCAGGGCTAGAGGGTAGGGGAAGCTGCTAGCTTGGGTGGGGGCGTGGAGAGTGGAAGCCCTCTGTAAACAGAAGTGTGGGCATGATGGACAGGCTTCATTTGAAGTGAAATGAAACTGCAGTTAGAAAACTGGCACAAGTAATCCAGTTATTCTCAAGACCAAGTAATAAATCACTGAAATCCAGATTAATGTCCCATTCCCCATTAGATGGTAATTTCCAGCTTTAAATCTCTTGCTGCAGCATGTCCTGGTGTCCATAAGACAGTGTCATGTTCTCGTGTTTCTAGTCCAAAGTAAATGTTCACGTTTGAGTTTTGTCAGTGCTTGAGACCCACTTTCTGGAGTTGTCTTCTCGCCCTTTCTTGCACGACACAAACAGAGAGAGGTGGTTGTCAGGCTGGTGATTGTTTACCCATAGCTTCTTGTAGGATAAGGATGCTGGAGAAGAAGTACCACTAGGATAAAGTCTGACGTGGTCCTGCTCACCCATATGTTGCATTTAGAGTGGCTCACGTCCCTTTAATGGTGTCTCCTCAGTGACCTAGCAAAGTTTGATGGCAAGGTTCACTCTTGTAGCTTACTACATAGACCATGAGCAATTCACACACACACAGGCACAGAGATGCGAATATCTATATTTACGTGTACAAAGGTACCTATCAAAAGTTGCCCTTGAGTTCAGTGAAATAATCACATCAAATCCATTTGCATTTCTCAACAGGCAAAAGTACTGTGTCTGGTTCTGAGACCTTCACTGCGGCAAAGATTAGGGAGGGAGAACACAGCTGACGCAGAGTCTAGAGGTAAGTCCTGTGAGGAGTGGCTGAGGGAGTTGGGCTTGGTTGGCCTGGAGAAGAGGAGGTTGTTACAGTTCCTATACCACCAGCTATGGGCTGTCCACTCTAGCTATTAATTTTTAAGTAATATTTAAGATACAGCTTTGTCTCTTCTAACTGTTATTAATGTTCAGAATGTTAGCTCCAGGTTTCACTATGATCCATCTTTGAATTACACAACATAGCCATATAGTTCAAATAAAGTCCAACTTCCAGCCTAACAATTCTAGCTACTTATGCCAAACAAGCATTTAGCTACTTTCAAATAATATAAAATTTGCAGGACCACTGTATCTTTTGGGTCTGCCAGGAATGGGATTCTGGATTTTCAGCATTCCATTGTTGCTCCTTCCAGGTGAGCTGAGACACGGTCACTGGTAGGACTTATCCACCCACAACATCCTTCAGAATGGATTCTGGATTCCAGAGGAGAGAGGTGCTGGCTCATCCTCTAAGGTCGAGAGAGGCTGAGAAGCCTGAGCGTGTAAGTACCTGCTGTGGCTAGGAGCTGTGTTAAGGCTGGAAACTCCTCCCATGTCCCTCTTCTCCCAGCCCCTCCTGCTGTCCACAGCACCGTGGAGCTACAGACCCCCTCCCAGCTCTTAGGGCCGTGCTTCTGTTGGCAGGGGCTGTCATGGTGCGTCAGGGGCAGTCCAGAGTCTTGCCTTGCTGTGCCACTGGAGCCAAGTTAAAACAATGTAAAGCTGAATATGAGCTTGTGCTTCTTTCTGTCCCCTGTGTGTGGGCAGGAATTCCTTCTGTCAGGTTGGCACACTCATTGTGCTGCTCTGACCACACCTGCCCTCCAGGCACCTGGGCATGTGGTGGGTGGCTCAAATGCTGCCTGAAACCTTGAGAGAGGTGGCTGGTCCCCCGGAACAGGTTCCTAACCAGTTGTTCTGTCTCATCTCCTGTGTGGAGCACAGATCCAGCTCTGCACACAGCAGTGGAATTGGGGCAAGTCCTCCTTCCCACCCACAAATGTCCCCTTTGCTGCCTGGAGCTCACTTGACTGGAGGTGACCCAGTGCTGAGGCTCTGTCAAGGACATCTCTCTGTATTCTTCTGTAAATGGGACTGTGAGGCCAGACAGAGCCTTGGGCAAGGATGGAGTTAGGGGAGTTTGCCACTCTCTGCAAAGGTCACTGGCTCAATCCAGTGGAAGTAAAGAGGACACAAATTCCCCAAGAGCAGAAGTCCCCACACATGTCACATCAAACCATGGAGAAGCTAATGAGGCAGAGCCACCTGGTTAGAGCAAGTGTGTTCTGCTCTATACCATTAATTTTCTGATGTTAAATATTTCAGCAGGTAACTTCCAGGACTGTCCTGGTGGCTGTGATCACAAATAATTCATCAGAGCCACTTGAACAAGTAAAGCCTCTCTGAACAAGGGCATTTCTGAGGCTCTTGCTGGTTTTTTTGCCTTTCAGCTGACCATCTTTGACTTCAGGGAGGTGGGTCTCAGGCTCAGGAAGAAGCTGGACAGCCCTCAGGAGACAAAGCTGCCCAAGACTGTCCGGCCCCTAGGCACGAATGAGAACTCCAGTTACAAGGTAGCCTTTTCCTGCCCTTTTCCTTGCTGTTTGATATGACATTTGAAGAGGCTGCATGCCTTGCCTTCAGCTTATTGAAACATCTCAGTGTCCAGGTCCTGTTGTCACTGCAAACTGCTAGTGGTGGTGGAGTTCCTTCTACTGGGGCAAAGGCAAAACATTTTCTCCTAGTGAGATGCTGGAGTCCTGATCTGTGCTAAGCCAACACAAATAATTTCTGCTGAAGCTGGTGGGGTTTGCTGGAGTTTAGCTACTGGTGGTGAAGGCACGATACCAGGGGAAGGCTGGGGCAGGACACAAGGGCACCAGCTTGCCATTTCCCATTGTCCCACCTCTTGCTTTGGTGTCATCACTGACCAATGCTAGGGGTCATAGGATTCCCTCCACAGTGGCAGTGCTGGCCTTTGAAGGCTGAGGGCCTGAGGTAATTACTCCCGATCTAACACAACTCCAGTCTTACTCAAGTTGCCCAGCACTGCTTAGAAAAGAGCTGAACCTTATCCTCATCCAGCATTCACCTCATTTGTCCTATTCCTATCTACTGTGGTACTTTTTTTTGCCCTTAACCTTCTCTGGTGCTATTCTCTTCTTACTGGTGTCTAAGTTCTAGAGTCTGGAGTTGTGTGGGCCTCAGTCTCCCTGCCTCAGAGTAAAGGTCATCCAAAAATTGTTTCCTATGGAGTCTGATGTAAATTCTTGAGTTTCACTTACTGCTTGAGTGCTCAGTGAGTGCCCAGAGCTCTGAGACCCCATTAGCACAGGGCTGTGCTGGAGGTAAGCGCTGCCTGGCATTTTGGAAAAGGAAAGCTGGAGAAACTCCTGCCAAAAGAGCTGCTCAGCTTGAGCCTGCTTGGTGTGGTCCAGCAGCTTTTGATCAGCTCAGAGCAGAGGTGGGTGAGCTACTGTTCCCCCAGTGGCAGCTGGGCAGACCTAGTTACCAAGAGCCTGTACTTCACCAGGAATCAACAGAGAAGAGTCGTTCATGAACCTTCCTCCCAGCAGCTGAACCTCTCCCTACTCTCTCTTGCCTCTCCAGTTCTCGTCACCTGACTGGAACAAGACCTTGCTTGAGCCTGTCCCATCCGAGCTGGTGTTTCAGAACTATGTCCTTGGCAAGGTCTGTGAAATGCCTCTGCTTCTGAGGAATAGAGACAAAGTAAGTGCTGGGATGTGGGGCTTTAACACTGTGCTAGAAGAAGAGGAGAGTGGTGTAACCTCCATGGTGTACAGCAGAGCAAGTATCAGCTGTAGCACATCCAGATTCACTACCTTGGATTTGCAAGATGGTGGGAATTTTCCCGTGCTGAGGATTCTCCCCTGATTTTGGCCATGCCTTGGTGGTATCTGACCCAAAAGAGCTTCTTTCTCTTGAGAGCCCTGGATTGATGGGAAGGCTGTCCAGTTCTCACCTGCTCTCGTGCTTCCCCTCGAGTGTCCACCACCACATCCTGTGGCTCCTTGGTTAATCTTGGTTCCCAGCAGGAATCTCTGCCTCTCTTAGCCTGTTGAGCTGCCTCTGTGCAGCTCGCAGTCAAAGCTCAGGGGTTGAGTCTTCTCCACTTAATGCTGGAATCATGATTAGTGATGATGACTAGTTATGATTACTGGCACTGGCACTGCGGGACATGCGTTTGAAAACAGCCCTGGAATCGGACACATTTAGCAGAAGCAGCAGAAGGCCTTTAGATGCCAGTTCAGGCTCCTGCCAAGCTTAATTCAGCTGTGCTCAGGTTTTCCAAAGGCAACATGGTGCTCTGCTTTCCCTTTGCAGAACTACAGCACATCCAGCGTAATGTGCTCTTGAGGGTTTCCACCTTCACTTGAACAAAGTGTGATTGTTTTGCAATTCCCTAAGAAAGCTGAGAAGGAAGAAGTTGAAAAATGTCAGCAATTGTGTTGCACTGTAAAGAGGAAAACTGAGACCTTTTGAATTTCAGTCAGGGAAACAGTTTCTCAACTGACTCTTGTGCCAAGAGCAAGCTGGTGGGAATAGACAGCAGGGGGTCCAAATCACCTGGTTTAGACATTGTGAGATGTGATTTGGTGCTCAGAGGTTGATACCTGTGTGCTAGCAAATGCCTGTTTGCTGTCCCTGTGCCTGTGTTCCCCTGCGGGCAGAAACTGGCAGCAGGGTGGCTTGCCTGCACTGGCAGCTGCCTGGCCACAATCACCAGGCAGCAATAGCCCCTGGAGAGCTGAGACTGGCTTTTAATAATGAAACCACACTGTCAGTCGGTGCTGCTCATGTTTCTCCAGGCAGAAAATAACCTTTCAAGCCCAGAGTTGACAGGCACAACCTGCAGGGCCGTCTGGCTTTCCATCACTGGCAAGCTGACTGCTCCCATCTTCTGCACCAGCCTTTCCTGGTAGTGTCTTGTGCTTCTCCCTTGCTTCTTTACAGCCCATTTCAATTCTCTTTGCTATCTCATTGTGTCGGGGCTTGTCTCTTTGTCTTGCTGTGTTCCTCCTTTTCTCTTCAGTTTCCCAGGAAGGCCAAGGGTATCATAGTATCATAGTATCATAGTATCATAGTATAGATTGGGTTGGAAAAGACCTCCAAGATCATCAAGTCCAACCCCTGATCCAACTCCAATTACTATATCATGGCACTAAGGGCCACGTCCAATCTCTTTTTAAAAACCTCCAGGGATGGTGAATCCACCACCTCTCTGGGTAGGCCGTTCCAATGCCTGATAACCCTCTCTGTAAAGAATTTCTTCCTAACATCTAACCTAAACCTCCCCTGGCAGAGCTTGAGCCCATGTCCCCTTGTCCTATTGTTGGTTGCCTGGGAGAAGAGACCAACCCCCACCTGGCTATAACCTCCCTTCAGGTAGTTGAAGAGAGTGATGAGGTCGCCTCTAAGCCTTCTCCAGACTGAACAACCCCAGCTCTCTCAGCCTCTCCTCATAGGACTTGTGCTCTAGTCCTTTCACCAGCCTCGTTGCTCTTCTTTGGACCCGCTCCAGCACCTCAATATCCTTCCTGAACTGAGGGGCCCAGAGCTGAACACAATACTCCAGGTGTGGCCTCACCAATGCAGAGTACAGGGGAAGGATCACTTCCCTGCTCCTGCTGGCCACACTGTTCTTGATGCAGGCCAGGATGCCATTGGCCTTCTTGGCCACCTGAGCACACTGCTGGCTCATGTTCAGCCTCCTGTCGATCAGCACCCCCAGGTCCCTTTCCGCCTGGCTGCTCTCTAGCCACTCTGTGCCCAGCCTGTAGCGCTGCAGGGGGTTGTTGTGGCCAAAGTGCAGGACCCGGCACTTGGCCTTGTTGAACTTCATTCCATTGGAGTCAGCCCATCTCTCCAGTCTATCCAGATCCCTCTGCAGAGCCCTCCTGCCTTCCGGCAGGTCGACACTCCCTCCCAATTTGGTGTCATCAGCAAATTTGCTGATGATGGACTCAATCCCCTCATCTAAATCATCGATAAAGATGTTAAAAAGGACTGGGCCCAGCACTGACCCCTGGGGAACACCACTGGTGACCGGTCGCCAATTGGATGCAGCTCCGTTCACCAGCACTCTCTGGGCCCGGCCCTTGAGCCAGTTCCTGACCCAGCACAGAGTGCCCCTGTCCAAGCCGTGGGCTGCCAGCTTTTCCAGGAGTATGCTATGGGAGACAGTGTCAAAGGCTTTGCTGAAGTCCAGATAGACCACATCCACAGCCTTTCCCTCATCCACCAGGTGGGTCACCTGATCGTAAAAGGAGATCAGGTTGGTCAAACAGGATCTGCCCTTCCTAAACCCATGTTGGCTGGGTCTGATCCCTTGTCCATCCTGTAGCTGCTGTGTGATTTCACACAGGATGATCTGCTCCATAACTCTGCCAGGCACCGAGGTCAGGCTGACAGGCCTGTAGTTACCAGGGTCAGCCTTGCAGCCTTTTTTATGGATTGGGGTGATATTTGCCAACTTCCAGTCATATGGGACCTCCCCAGTGAGCCAGGATTGTTGGAAGATGATGGAGAGCGGCTTGGCAAGCTCTTCTGCCAGCTCCCTCATTACCCTAGGGTCTGGTCTCCTCTTGCTGGTGTGCCCATAGGACTGTCTCCCCACAGCTGGACTTCCCCACTCCACCTCAGTCTGTTAGAAGGGAATTTCTTCCTTCCCCCAGGATAATGTGCTGGTTTGCCTTCAGGTAGCACATTCTCCCTCTGGAACAGGGCTGCATGGCTGTGTGCAGGCAGAAGCAGGCAGATTCTCTGGGCTTGTTGAAAATGAGGATGACTTGGTTCAGGTGCTCTATCTTCATACTGCTGGTGCCTGACCTTCCTTCCCAGCAGGCACTGCCCTACTGCCTCTGGCCGAGCTGCTTTGCCCAGGCAGAGGGATCCAAGTTCACCCTTGTGTATCCTGTGCTTGTACCTCCAGAGCTAAAAGTCCTTTGGGAAAATGGTCAAGGAAGGCTGTCACCAGGGCACACCCAGATCTCCTCCTGTTTCCACAAGTGGCAAAATCACCATTTTGTGTCTTTCCTGCAGGTTACTCAGCTGGTGAAGGTCACCATGGACAGCTCACCTTATTTCAAGTTGGTCGGCCCCAATGGTGTGTGCCATCAGATCCCATCGGGCTCATTTTGTACTATAAACATCCTTTTCATCCCTGAGGGGAGCAAGGTGAGTTTAGAGGAACGTTCTCTCTAAAGCCAGGGCGTTTGTTGCACACTGGTTATAGCCTAGCCCGTGCTGTGAGGTCGGCTCTGGGCTGGGGGCAGGCAGCCTGGAGCTGGTCACACCTTGGCACGGTGTGGTACTGCCAGGCCCTGCAGCTGGGCCTAGAGGGCTTTGCTTTCCCTCCATGCCTATTCTTGAACGTTCACAAGGGAAGAGGCAGATGGAACAGGGGTGTTGATGTTTAGCTATCTCTAGGCTCAGTGGAAGGGGTTTTATTATGGAAAATACCAGAGGAACAAAAAGATCCAGAGAGCTTTATTCTTTCCTATTGGAATGGAGCAAAAATTATGCTTTTTCACATGCTCTGTTCTCCAGCCTTTATTAGTATGAATTAGTGGTCATTTTTGGGGTGGAAGAGGTAAATTCACACCCACAAAGGGTCATAGAAAACAGTACTTTTTCTTCTGCCATGAGGATGGCACTCAATGCCCTTAATGCTGTGCCAGTTACTTTTCCTGCAGGATCATTTCCACCGGCTTGTCTGCATCAGCGAAAGGGAAAAGGTCTCTGTGCCAATTCGAGCCATTGGTGCCCGCCCAGTCTTGGACTTCCCTGACCAGCTGGACTTCTCGTCGTGTCCAGTCAACCACAGCACCCAGAAGACTCTGCTGGTTCGCAACACCGGGAACCTGGAAGCCTGTTACAGCCTCAGCACTGAGAGGTAAAGCAGCTCATCTGTCTTAGTGCAAAACACCTTTGGGTGATGGCAGAGTTGGGAAAGAGTATCCCAAAGGAACCAGAGCATCTGAGCTGCTGCACTGCAGCCACAGCTGGAAATGGGCAGGACGTGTGGGGTCTGCTGTTGCTTCTAGTGTTTTAAGCAGGATGCAACTCCTGAGCTTTGTCTTTCCCAGATTTCCTGGGGACTGCTGGAAAACGTTAATAGTTGGTCTGCACCCTCCTGAGCACCAACACCTTCTGAAATGGCTGCCTCCCACTGTCAGCCAGATAAACCCATTCTCCAGGAGGCCTCAAGCATGTGGTACATCAAGGGGCCTCTCATCAGATGCCCACCATCAGCTGTGTTGTGAACAGCCTGTGCAGTTCCTGTTAGTCAAAGTTGATCTGATTTCCCTTGTCAGCTGAGGGTATCAGTCATCTCTTCTGTTTCATGAAGAACCTTTGCAAGCCAATATAATTTTTCAAGCAGATTTCATTCAGATTTCTTTTAAAATATTCTGAAGTTCATGTGTTTCTGCTTTTTTTTTCAATTTATTTTGTTCTGTGTTAGATTTTTGTCAAACTGTCATTCATTCTTCCTTGGGAACTTTCTTCAAGGTCCTCTCATGCCTGTTGATCTACCATCTGCCCATAGGCATATGCACAGGTGTATAAGAAACAGGAGCAATTTGGGGAATATGTGAAAATGTAGGAGATACAGGGACTGATTTGCTCTTGGGTTCTTAGTCCTGAACTTGGCTGGATCCTCTTCTGAGAATTTGAAAACAGGAAGATCCCTTCTTTCTCAGGCATCCCCTGAAGTCAGCGCCAGGAGTGTTATTCCCCATCCAGCCATCTGAGGGCAGGAGTATACAGACATGGGGCAGGAGTAGGAAGGGAATGGGAGGGAAGGTAGCCCTGAAGAGTTGCCCCTTGACTAGTAGCTTCTCCGTTCTGGCAAAATTTCTGGCAAAAGAACAGGAAAAAAAATTCCGTGCCTTTCCCAGCCCAGGCAACGAACCCCTGAGCCCCAGCAGAGCCCTGCAGCAGTCCTGGCACCCCCATCAGGGCAGATGCAGGAGCACAGAGAGTAATCCAGCTCTGGGGCTGGTGGGGCCTTGTCTTTCCTCCTCTCTCTCTAAAGTCTCAGCCCCAGCACAAAAACATTGTTGGCCCAAGGCTTCTCCATTAGCCAGTAGTGATGTTCTCACTGGTGGTAACGAGCTGGGTCAGGCCCCTAATTGCAGCAATAGCTCCTTAAGGAGCAGAAAGAGCAGCAATTCCATCAGCTGTCACCACTAACAGAACAAAGTTCAGCTTGCACACGGCTCCAGTTGTTCTTTTTTTTTTTTGTGTTGCATTCTCTAACCATCATCAGAATCCCCAGGAAATGTTTTTAAGGTGACAAATTAACCATCAGCAAAGCACTAAACTTTTGTTTTCTCAGTGGGGCTGTACAAAGAGCACAAAGCCCAGCAGCCACTGGGCAGAAGCACCTTTGACCTGAGCTATCCCAAAGCATTAAAGCACTCATTTTTGTGTCTGTCAGGCAAGAGCTGTTTACCTGGTGACAAAGTCGAATTGCTCCTGTTAAATCCAAACTGCACCAACACATTTGCCTAATTATTTCCCTTGTTTCTCTGGAGGGCCAAGCAAACAGTTACCAGCCTGGATGACACTCCAGAATACACAGAAACCTCCTGTTCAGCTCCCTTGCTGTGCTGCTCTTAATGGCACTTCATTTAGCTGGGATTGAATCCTTCAGGCTGTAAAGGGGACCCTCCTTTTGGGTATTGTGTTCATGTCACTGTATTGTTCCAATTTACAGTTGCACTCATTCAGAGTTTTCATTGCTCCTTTTCTTCCAGCAGCTTTCATTGAAATGCTGATAAAACGTGCCCTTTCTTAGGTTAAACCAGGATGTTTACAAAGGGAAAAACCACCCCAAACAACCACACTGCAAATTAAACTCATTATTCTCTGGTCTTCAAGGAAGACTTTATTCTCCCTCTTGATTCCTAGGCTGTAATCTCACAGGACAGGGAGTGCCCTGCCATTTGCTCTCTTGAATGAGGTTTATAGGGGATCAGAAAAGAGACATTCCTGAGGCAGTCAGTGTCATGTGCATGCAAATAGCTCTTAACCCTCTCTGTGCTCTTCTGAACCATTCTCTGCTGGGATTGCTGGCAGTTGGACCCTTGAGCCTCCACGCAGAGTATGAGGGAGATGAGTTCATTTCATCCGACAGGATTTTCTGAGGGCTGCATCTCCTCCGAAGAGAGTCAGTAGCTGTTTCTGATGCTGTGTGTTCTGTCTGTCTTCTGCTGACTGTGGTTGCTTTGCTCCTTGCTTGCACAAGTCAGCTGAAGTGAACTAAACTGCAAATATCGCCCCCAAACCTCCCCCAAGAGTCCTGATCTCTCTCTTGGTCGTGCAGCCCTTTCACTGTCGGTCCAGCCATGGGAACCCTCGACGTTGGTGAAGCCATGCAAGTGACAGTGGAATATCACCCAATGGAGACCGGGCACCATTCCACATCCCTGGCAGTGCACTGTGACAGAGGTGAGTGCTGGGCACTGCACGGTGCACTCACCCTGCATCCTTCCAAATAGCAGAGCCCTTTCTAAGCAGAATAACGTTAGACTTGCTCTGCAAACTACTTGTAGAACTGTTCCTTTCAAAGCCCCTGTGTGTTTCAGTGCTCAGAAGTGAGTAAAGAAGGGACCAAGGCTGAGTCTGTCCCTGTCCTGGATGTGCTGTGTTACTGTGTGCTGGTCCATCCCTGGAGGGACCCTGGTGTCAGCATGGTGTTCTCCATCCGGCACCCCCACCACAGTCCTCTACCAGCACTCCCCACTGTCCCAGCCACCTGAATTCCCCCTCCAGCAGCACCGCCCTGTCCCAGCTTCACCGCAAAGAAAAGTGAAAACCAGTTAGTGTTTAGGGGGTTGATAAAGTGGATGCCCTCAAACAGGGATGAGATCTTGGAATCCTGTTTTGCTGGGAGTTGCTGAGTGGAGGAAGGAGGAACCTTGATTCTCCATTGCAGTATGGATATGCAGGCCTGAAGTTGCATTCCTGGACAGTGCTGTCTGTGACATGTGAGCTTTCCATCCAACTCTCTCTAATGCAATGTGTCTCTTGCTCACCTCTGTCCCCTAAGCTGCTTCTCTGTTGTCTTGCCACAGACCCTTTTTCTATGTTGCCCTCTACACAGACATGTCATTTCTGTCTAAGAACATTTTCAGGCCCTCGGGTTCCTGTTGGATGACAAATCATGACAAATTTTCCCTTATTCCCATTTCCCAGGCCATTCATGCTCTCCAGACCTCTCCCATCTGTCTCCCATTTGATTTCTAGGTTCAGGAACCCCATTCAGTCTTCGTATAAAAGCTGCTCTGTACTTTTAGTCTTTCTCTCTGCCCTTCCTTCTTTCATTTCAAATGTTTCAGCTTGGTGTTTGAGATCAGAATGATATTAAATATTTCTAGACTGATGTGGTCGTGGGTTTGGACAGGGAGGGGATGATGGCTTTCATGGTGTTGATTTTCTAGTGCTTTGTCATACTGAATGTTGTAGAACATTGTATCTTGTTACCTCACCTTAGTCCCCTTCTGCCGTGGGCTTCACTTCCCTTGCTCCCCTGGACCTCTCTTTCTTCACACCTGCCCCCAGGAATCTTTGCTTGTCAGCAACGAGGAATTGGGAGAGGCAGGAATCTCGTGGGGTGCCTTCAGGAGACTCTGGGCTGTGACTGAGTGGGGCTCATTAGGGTCACCTGAATGAATTTGATGCAGAATTGCCTGGGATCTAAGTGGGTCACCTGAGCACACCTGACAAATCTCACTGTAAATACTGTCACCTCAGGACAAATCTCTACAAACACACCCAGAAATAAGGTGCTTAAGGTGGTGTCCAGGACATCCTCACACTGTACACATGGAGCTGTTGGGATTTGATAAATGTACTGATCTGTGGAATTACTTATCCAGCTAAAAGTTGGACACTTTCTTCTGTTACTTGTGGTTTGCTCTGGTCCTTGTAATTCCATTAGCGAGTGAGCTGAGCAAAGACTCCTCTTTGCTTTGTTCCAGGTGAAGATACCCACACCAGACTTCTTGGAAAAGCTAAGGACTTCAACATCGGGCTGGACAAGTACTCTTTGGAACTTGACAAGACTTATCTCACGCTGTCAAGCCACAGAACCACGGTCATCCACAACAGAAGTAACATCACAGCCCGATTCCAGTGGAAGGCTTTTGCTACTGAGGTAGAGGAGTATCCACAGAAGATCAGGTTGGTCTGAAAGATGCAGAGACATGCACTGCGCAAGGGTAAAACTAACATGGCCTCAGGCTTGTGCTTTTGAGTGCTTTAGGGCGTTAGGAACAAGTAGGTGTTCCTGCAAAGTTTGCAGGGCAGTCACTGCTCACAGTAAGAAGCAACAAAGTTGCAGTTCGGGAGAGGGGCAGTTTACCCAGAGACAAGGGGACCAACCAGCAGCACAGGAGGGTCATGTGGCCCTGTCCTCCATTTTGAAGTGCTGTGGCCTCCACCTTGAACAATGTCAGTGACCTTGAGAGCCACCTAATCAGCACATAATGGGGGATGCACAGTAGGCCTGCTGGGAAGCCTGTAACTGCAGAGTATCCCAGCCAATGGAGAAATGGGGAGGGACCTGTGCTCCAGGCAAAGGGGATAAAAGAAGCTGCAACCTCCACTGAGTTGAGAGACTTCCCTGAGGTCTGTTCAGTGAACTCTCCCTTTTATTAGAATAAAGGTTTATTTTTTTAGTTAGCTCCTCTGTTTCCTGGCCATTTATGTGAATTACTTCTGTACAGTCCCTCATCAGCATGGGAGGCGAGAGTGGCAGTGGTTTTGCCATTCCACATGCTCAGGTCTTAGTTCAGTGGTTGTCAGGGGTCCACTCTGGGGGTCCTCCGAGGCAAGTGCCCCCTAAATCAATCGTCCTATTTGTGACCCTTCTTCTTGCACTTGGGCAGGTATTCACTTGTTATATACCACAAGGCAGTGGAAGGTGGGGGTGCAAAGTATCAGGGCCTTCTGGCACGTCATGGGGAAATTACTGTCTGTGGATGGAGGTTGAGCAGAGAGTTGCCATCTCAGTGGCTGGATGCCCTCCTCATGCCCAGCACTGGAGGTCAGCCCTGGAGAAACGTTTCCAAATGCGCTGCGCAGGGAGCCAGCCATAGCCAGTATTTTTGGTGCAGGGAGCCAGCCATAGCCAGTATTTTTGGTGCAGCGAGCCAGCCATAGCCAGTATTTTTGGTGCAGGGAGCCAGCCATAGCCAGTATTTTTGGTGCCGGTGACAGTGTTTGCCCAAGGCTCTGTCTGTGTGCAGCTGGTAATATCCATTGTCAGTGTAGAGTCGTGACGGCCGATAAAGATACAAGGAGTCAGTTATGTGCAGGAAAGATGTCTTCTTCTTCTATTTTCTCATCTGCTTTTTTATACCCCTTGCTAGCAGCAAGCAGTATCCTTATTTTAGGTAAGCAAGCAACAGCGTTTTCATTGGCTAGGATCTATGGGCGATACATTTGGCAAAGCTCAAGGCCTTATTGCAATTCCCACATCCTAGGCCTACCAACTTTACAGCCTGCCTTTGTTTTCTCCATTAGGGCTGCATACTGACTTCCTTATCATCAAGGATACACCCGAAACTTTTCCCAGTCGATATCTCCACCCTGGGAGCTAATAGACCCGCTATTAAGCCCATCAATCCATGACTGTATTTCCTTTCTAACTGTGTTTGAATTTGGCTGGGTGAGGATGCTGTCCTGTTTATACTCCACTGCCTCAATCTGCTCCATATGGAGCCTTCTACTTGTCCCTCCAGTTGCCACCTGCAGGTTCTTCATGGCCAGGGGACTGGAGTCTGACGGGGGAACAGTGATCTGCCAGCTGGGAAGCAGCTGTTCCTTTCCCATCTCTTGGTTGTGATCTTAAAACACTAGAATGATTTCTGCTGCAGCTACCAAGTAATGGAGAGATTAACTGTGCCAAAGGTCTGCAGAGAAGGCCAAAAGGAGGAAAAAAGGTGGTTCAAGGCTAGATGTCCCCCTCTCAGGGCCTCTGTTTTCATGCATATAAAACTTTTAATGTCACTGAAGAGATACCATGCCTGAATTCATCAATTGGTTTTGAAAGTGCTCTGGGATGCTCTGGTGGAAGGCAGTGTAGGGAACAGGGCACACAGGGTTAACTTATCCCTGCAGGTCCAAAAGGGAAGAAGCCAAGAGTGATGCTGGTAACCTGCAGCTGAGAGCTAGCTTCTTCTCCCCTTGCCAGGGAAGCCCTGCAGGCAGTGGGGGGGCTCCTTGATCTTTATCTGCCTCCCCCAAGCAACTCTGTGTTAGGAAGAGTCAGTTGAGGTCACTGGTAGGTTCTCCCTCAGTTTTGGCAGTGGCTCTGAGCCAGGAGGTTCTCCTGAGGACTGCTGGCTTTCAAAACCTCTCCTGCGCTTGTAAGTGTGGAGTAAAAGCACCTGCCCTGCGAGCGAACAACAAGTGATCCTCTGAGGCCTTTGGGACCTCGTGGCTTGGGCTCAGCCCCTTGCTGGGGAGCTGCTGCTGCTCCTCCCTGAGCGCTTTGCTGCTTCTGCACTTACACTCAGCTCTGCAAATCAGTGGCTTATTAAATGACCTGCTGCCTTTGTTTCTCCCTGTGGCTGCAGGCTGTGTCACAATCTGTCTTGGCCGCCCCAGGAGCTGGCGAAGGCTCTTGTGATGAAGCGCTATGAGGAGCTGGACCTTTACGACCGCGAGTTGGAGAAGGAGACAGCAAAGATTCAAGCAGACCCCATGCTGTTCTCAGATGACGTTTTCACCATTGAGCCCTTGGTAAGTGATAGCTGAGAACCTCTTTCTCCTCCCCCTCCCTGAATGAGGTCACTCAGCAGATCCCCACCTCAGCTGGCTTCAAGTGCCCCGATAGAAGACATGGGGTTTCTGGTGAGGCTGGAGAGCTTGTTGAAAAAAGCAGTTGCTACCCTGTGGGCTCCTGGCAGGCAGCAGGAACCTGCCTAAAGCTGAGCTCTGCTGCAAGGGTTTGATGTCAAGGGAGCTTGGGTGCGTGTCCTTGCAGCGTCCAGAGGGGTCGGTTACTGTAGGAAGGGGCACAGCTTACACATGATGTGTGGGGCTTCCCAGAGGGTGCTGGAACGCTGTCAGTTCACAGGTTGACCTGAAGCAAAAAGGAGGCCAAATTCAGCCCAAGGTCATGGAAATGCCAATCCCTCCCTGTAACCAGGACTTACAGCATGTCTGAGTCACCCTTCCAGTGTCATCTGGGAGCCTGGACACAAGACTTGGAAATGGACTTTTTGAGTTCTGTTGCACACAGGGACAGAAAATCTTTTTCTGTTTATGCAAGCAAACCCCCATGTCCTTCCATCAACCAGAGCCCTGACTATGAGTATTGGCACAATGTGAGATGAAGAATCCCTGCTGTCTGCACAGTGCAAAATCCCTCCTCATCTTGGAGTAAACCTTACAATAATCCCAGCCTCTGCTTTCTTTTAAAATAATTTAAACTAAGTTTTTTCTTTCCAAGGAAGGGGATCATGTTCTCTTCTTGGTTACTCCTATAGCCCATCTAAGGCCAAGAGCCACCAGTGTCAGCACAACAGCAGTTTCACACCACTGTAGCTGACAGCAGCACGATGTGACCAAGAGCTTGTGTCAGAGCAGTAGGAATATTGTAGCATGGGAGCTGATCAGCTGAGCATTAAGAGCATCCTGCGGTTGTGTTGAGCTGGTTTTGGAGTGTTGTTCACTCCTTGCTCTAAGTAAAGGCTTACAGGTTGAAAAGAAGAAATGTGATACTGGAAGGTAAATGGTTTGCTGTCTCTTTCTGTTTTAGGAGGGAGAGGTTGGGCCACATTGTTCAGCTGAAATCAAGGTGTTCTTTAAACCCCGAGAAGCCCAAGTCTATAGAAAAGTGGCCTACTGTTCCATCTCAGGTACGACTCTTTCTCTTCTTTCTCTTACCCACAGTCATTGGGAGGTGCAAATATTCTTCCAGCCCACTGGGCTCCCGTGGAAGTGCTGGGAAGGGTCCAAGGTCATCAGGGCAGTGCTGGCTCATGTCCACTGTCCCTGTGGTTTCCTGGTGGTCTCCCATGCAAGGCCAGGGCTCAGGACACTGATCCCAGGACAATCCAAGCAGTGCATGGATAAGCTTTCATGCCATGGGTTTGCCAGGATTTCCTCAAAGGCCAAAGAGCTACACAGCAGAACAGCTTTAGGGCA